TCTCTCTCTCTCTCTCTCTCTCTCTCTCTCTCTCTCTCTCTCTCTCTCTCTCTCTCTCTCTCTCTCTCTCTCTCTCTCTCTCTCTCTCTTCTACCGGCTTTCACAGGCCTTGCTCTCTCTAAATGTCTTCCCCGACTCACACTCACTCTCCCTATCAGCTATGACACCAGGTGTGTATAGACTATCCTAGTCTTGCCTCTCAGCGTCACTTGTTGCTTGACTGCACAAGACCGCAAGAGTGCTTCCACAATATGCACGAATGGAAATTGTGACTTTCTGCTGTGCTGGCCTTTTCTACGTGCTGCAGTTCCCAAATTTGGATCTTTCTGGACAGGTACCCTTTCACCTGTCGGCCGGGGCCTGCTTCCACCGCATCCGGAGTTTTAATAGACTTTCCTGTGACTGAGCTGTATTTTTGGACTAACAGATTGACATTTACCGACAGTTAATGAAGTACGTCCGCTGGAGTCTCTCCTATCAGAGGTGTATTTTTGGACTAACAGATTGACATTTATCGACAACGAATGTAGGTCCACTGGTACCGGCCCACTTTGTGCGGTGTACAGGGCCTACTGACTAATGTACAGGTGGGCCTATGACTCCTGCCGGTTGAGGCTATATACATGGACTCCTGGACTTCGTACTGGTACCGGGAGTGCTGAGATGCGTGAAATCCTTTCACTACCCCTGGGTTAAATTCGAGGTCCGTCTGAGAAAGCTAGGAAAACGAATTAATGATCTGCTATGCTAGTTCCCTTTTCGCTTTTGTAGTGTGAGACTAATTGTGGGGCTGCTGCATGTAGGTGGTCGAGTGCTGAGATGCTCGAAATCCTTGTACTACCCCTGCGTTAAATTCAAGGCCGGTCTGAGAAAGCTAAGAAACAGAGTTAATGATCTGGTATGCCAGTTCCCCTTTTCGCTTTGGTAGTGTGACGGGGCGGAGGTAGAGCAGCGAGGTCGGGGAAGAGAGAGGGAGGGAGTGAGAGCACACACACATGGGTGGGGGTGTTGGCAGGCACTTACCTGCTTTGCACTTTGTAGTTCAGGCAACCGAGCACCTGTCTGCAGCAAATCAACAAGCACATTCAACTAGCAGACATGCAGACTTGCAAACTGTGCAAAGCAGGTGGAATGAACCCAGATCGTGAAGACAGTCGTCGACAATGCAAGCCCGGATGAATGTCAAACAGCTGATGATTATCAATAGTCAAAATCGTATCCAGACAGAATGAGATGAGATAATCATACACAGACGAAGAGAGAGGAGGGAGATTAGACGAAGGAGAGAAAATAAATACAAGGCCCACTCCTGCTTCGGGCTCCCTCCTCGATCACCACCTCAATAGTCAATAGTCTGAATGAGTATCTGAAGTAACCTCAATGTGCCATGTGGCACGTCTAATTAGTCCCTCATCAGCGCTGGAGCAATGTCGACATGAATACCATCAGGTACGTATCCACGATCTCTCCACAGTCCCGATCTCCTCCCGAATGACGRTAATCAGAACAGCAATACAAGTCATGTAGCTTCGCTTCGTCCGCAAACAGAAGAACACGTGGCAGCAGCCACGTCAGCCAATGATACACGTGGCAGCGGCCACATCAGCGACAGCGCATGGCAGCTGCCACGTCAGCATGCCAAGAAGACAGGTGCGAGCCCAGCCACCATGCCGGACCAGCAGCGCCTCGCCGAATCACAATGCCAGCGTCGCAGCGTCGAGCCAGCGTTGAAGTCAACGTGTGAAGTCAGCATCAACGCAAGACAGAATGAATGAATGTCAAAGCCAGCGAGGTCGGGGTCTGGACCTCGGATGCTGCAACCTTTAGCCGTCCAAATCTCTTGATGCAAACGAAGGCCCTGATTGGCCTGAAATTGACTTCCCTTCAGCTTGGATGCTTGTCTGGTACCTGCGCACAACAACTGAGTGTATCCAACCAAGGGCCTGGGCGACCCTTGACTTTCCTGGGTGCAGCATTTGGTCACACAGCCAAACGCGACAGACTCGGGCTGGGCGTATCCTGGTCACACAACCCAACGCAGACCAACTTTGGTCTGTGTTGCCTGGGGCTGAGTTCTGGGCCCCATACTACTTCTGAACAGGGTTACTGCATTCCTGCCGGCCCATTTTTGAGTTCCACCGCAGAAATTCTTAAGACTTTAACCCTCGTTCATAAGCAGCAAGAATATCAAGAGCAGTTTCAAGTAGTTCTCTTTTACTAAACCATCTGTCCTCAGATGGTGCTTGAGACTTAAAACGTACCTTGAATTGCTTCTGAGGTCGTCCACGTGCTCCCTTAGAGAAGTATCCATGCTCTGTGATTCTGTCTACTTCATATCTGCCTTCCATAGATGGTGGAATCATAGAGGGTCTGTTTGGAAATTCATTCCCTTCTACATAGGGCAACAATTTGGACGTGTGAAAGACGGGATATGTTTTGAGATGAGGGGGAATATCAACGGGATTGGACGGTCCCTTTGCATCTCCTATTACTTTGATAACTTCCCAGAGTCCAAAATAGACAGGCATAAGTTTTTGAGACACATCTTCTTCTAAGGAAAACTCTTTGGACTTTACCCAGACGAAATCACCTTCCTAAAAGGTAGACGGTCGGCGATGTTTATTCGCTTGTTATCATCTAGTCCTGTGCTTTCTTTAAATTATCTTTTACCTTCTTTATGTCTTCTTGAAACAAAACTGCATACTCTCGTGTCCCTGGATGTAACCTAAGGAACTAGTCCCGCGTTAACACGTCAATGGGACGCCTAGGTTTCCACCCTTTGTGCAGTGCATTTGGTGTACGACCCGTGGCGGTGTGAACACTGCTATTATATGCACTGGCTATCTTGGGTAAGTTCTCATCCCAATCACCCAATCAATTTGATCAGGTCTTACATACATGTGCAAGAGCTGTTGGCATAATTGGTTCATTTGTTCACTTTGCCCATTCGTTTCAGGGTGACGCCCTGACGACATGATCAAACGTGTGCCGTATGCCTCCATTAGCTTTTGCCATGGCATACTTGTAAACCTGGCATCTCGATCAGATACAATGGATAAAGAAAAACCATACTCAGTTACCCATTTCATCTGAAAGTTCTGGATCACAAGTTCAGTCCTTGCTTCAGCAGGTAAGGGAATAAACATGGCATATTTAGAGAAACAGTCCACAATCATCATCACTTGACTATTACCGTTGGGACTTTTAACCAGACTCGTAAAGTCAATTGAGATGGACTCACGTGGTCGCTTGGTATAGGTAATGGCCTGAGAAGTCCAAGAGGATTCTCATGCGTCGGCTTGTTTCTCTGACACACCAGACAGGTACGCACATAAGTTAGTACATCTTCTTTTAATCCCTTCCATTCGAAGCGTTCTCTGCGTATGTTTTCTTGAATCCAGTATCCTTCAAAGCCGTGACATTCCCCATTCAGCAGACTCTTAATTCTTTCTTGGTGAGGAATACACAATGTTTGTCCTGTTTGGTCTATCAAGAAAAGCAAACCATCGGCTACTCTATAGTTGGGTAATTGGGAAGGATCTCGTGCAAGGACATCCATGATTGGCTTCCAAATTGGATCAGTAGCGTATCCTTGATGAATATGTTCTTTTAAATCATTCCCAATATCAAAGTATGAGACAATTGTGGCAAAGAAGTCACTGCGTCGGGATAAAGCATCCGCAACCACATTAGACTTACCTTTAATAGTTTTGAGCTCAAAGTCAAAGGTGTGAATGAAGGCAGACCATTGTACCAACTTGTCAGAGAGTCTAGACGGTGTCTTTATCCACTGTAGTGTCGAGTGGTCTGAATACACAGTAAAGTGCCTCCCTAGCAGGTGGTGTCTCCACGTATCCAACGCACAAACTAAGGCATAAAGGTCCCGTTCATAGGTGGAGTTGGCAACTTTCTCTGACGGCAATCGTGTAGACATAAACTCTACGGGCCTATAGCCCTTGCCATCATCCTGTTGGAGAACAACGCCAATCCCATACTGACTTGCGTCAGTGGTAACAATGAAAGGCAAGGACGGGTCAACAATCTTTAGAACAGGATAGTGAGTTAGTGCATATTTCAATTTCCGAAAGGAAGACTCATAGTCCTTATCCCACAACCAAATAGTTCCTTTCTTTAACAATCTTCGCATTGGTGCAACAATCATTGAGAAGTTTTTGACAAACTTCCTGTAGTAACTGGCAAACCAAGGAAATATTGCAATTCAGTTATAGACTTAGGTTGTGGCCATTTTCTAATTGCTGAAAATTTTTTCTCTTTCGGCCTTAGACCTTCTTCGTTCACTATGTGTCCTAAGTATAACACTTCGGACTTAGCAAACTCAGACTTTGTGGAATGGATCTTGAAGTTGCCCTCTCGCAACTTCTCTAGCACTAGACGAAGGTGCTTCTCATGATCTTCTAGTGTCTTACTGTACACTAGAATATCATCGAGATAGACAATTACGAACTTGTCTAACCATTGACGAAATAATTCATTCA